CAGACACTTTTGCTCCCTGTTTCCCCTCATATTGCCACTCCATTTAGCCCTGGGCTCTGATCTCAGCCTGGCAAAGGAGCAACTTTGCCACTGGAGAGTAAGATGGGGTGGGAGATGGAAATAATAAGAGGAGGGGGAAGGTTGATCTGAATCAGGTAATGTTGATCCAGATAAGAGAAAGGATTGAAAGAGGGGGTGGGGGGCAAAGAAGAAAGTCAAAGCAAAAAGTGAACAGGACGGAGCGGGATGAAAAGGTGAGATTAGGAAGCAGAGAGGGGCAGAGTGCCATTTTTTTTGGTGAAAGTTCACATGTCAGGCTGGCAGGCTGCCTGCGGCATACGGCCGAAAAATCTATTTAACGTCTGCTTCACAGGGTGACAAGAGGGTTGATTGGCAGAGAGCAGAGAGCCGCTTTTGATCATGTGTCCTAACAAGCGATTCCAGCTCATGTCTCTTCAGCCTGAACAGATCTACATTACCTATTCAAACAAAAGTGACAGACCAGAGCACTGCTCCGCTGGGCTGCTGCACCACGCCACAGGCCAAGAGAGAACACACACACACACACACACACACACACACACACACACACACAGGAAGGCCCCCACTGATACATACAGTACATGCAAGCACACACACACACACACCAAGAACTATATTGGCTATTTGATCAAATAGATTACTTGCATCAAGTTAAGTAGCTTGCTGAAATCATGTAGACAGAATAAAGAAGAGATTATTAAAGGAGGTGGGGAGATGGTGCACAGGAGAGAGGCGGCTGCTTGACTGATGTCTGGCCCGTGTGTGGTTGTGTGTCCTGCCAGGAGGGTCCCGGCCTTGCGCTGTCCGGTAGGAAGCTGTACTCGGAGGCAGCGCAGAGCTATGTGTGAAGATTGCCACAAAAAAAATCTGCAACCAAGGCAACTGGATTTCCAGCCTTCATTGCATATGCATAGAGTCAGAGGCTCATGCTCAGATCATTATAACAAAGATTCCTATTAATTAGGTGGGATAAAGCAGAACCAGATGACATGGCAGCTGGGATGAGAGGAGAGGGGAGAAGGGAGGGAAGTGAATGAGGAGGGGAGAAAGTGCATCAGTCGGTTGGGGGAAGGGAAGGAATGTATTTTATTTACTGATTATATGTAATTTAACTTTAAAAAGCATTTCAAATGCTACATGTAGAGTAAATAAATTACGAAAAACCTCAGTTCTTATAAGCACCTGCAACCGTTTTCCATTGAGCCTGCGTTTGGAGTCAGCAGGGGCTATAACACTGACAGGGGACGGTGTTACAACAGTGTCAAGAGTTCATCAGTGCTAATCAGAGCACAGGCTTAGAGCTGAGCCTATTCTCTTCCAAAGCTTTCACCCATCCCTGAATCTCATTACATAGCCTCTTGTAATAGGGGATAATGACCTAGGGCTACACACACAATGCTGATCGCTCCCCCCACACTCAAACTACTGCACAGTCATTATACTGTGATAATACACAGCCTCGCCAGGGGATTACACCTCTAAATAGAGGAGAGGTGATAAAGGCACAAGGAGCGGAAAGAAAGGTCTAAAATATAACACATACAGTACACAAATACTGTATGACCCCGACGCCCCAAACACAATTAGTTCACAGTGGCACTTCATGTTGTGCTGATTTATGTCACAAGCAATGGTTAGGTTACCTGCTGCTGTTATACAGGAACTCTTTTCTCTGTAAATAACCTTCTACCTGAGATTAAAAAGGGACTCACAGTTTGGCTTAATGGTGCTAAGGCACCCCTTTGCTAAGTTAATTAGTAATTACTCTGTCAAAGAGCTCCAGGTGTGGAGCGTTCTGCCTAAGCACCTACTGTAACTTTTCCAACTAGTCAGAAAAAGCAGAATTGTGCTCATATAGTAATCTGTCTTTCAATGACAAAAAAATACAGAAGTACATCCCTTTCAGTGCAGCTTTTACTGACAAGGTCTAAACATGCAGATAGTGGGCCCAGGAAAAATCCCTGAAGCCAACGCAGGAAGCTAAAACTCAATTACCCGTCCTTGTCTTAGGGACGATCATAAAGGCCCAACACACAGAGTATTTCTGTGTTGACTTGCACAGTATTGATTCATACTTTAGTGCATTATATAAAACTGTTCTAATTGCATGTGAATCAAATCAAGGTCACCTTGGCCTTTTATAATGGTGGCTATTTTTCTTTTCTCCCCTCATAGTTTATACTGACATTTTTAACTCTTGACAAGTGCTGTCTGGAGACCTATCCATAAATAATGCATTTACAATACCTAGTAAATAAACATGGGGCACAATCGTTAGCCCTGCTGGCAACCGGGCCTAATAGAGCTTTTACAGCAAAGGTGACTATTCAGCTAAATGCGCTGCTTGCTGCTAGGAGGACATTTTCATTCATTAGCACAGTCACAAGCACTTAAAGCACTTTGAGGACCAGAAATGGAGAGGGTGAAAGGGTACAAATATAAAGAGATGGAAGAATGGAGGAGTAATACCTATAACACAGAGACAGCCTCTATTGTTAGAATGAGATACCATGGTCAATGAAGGAAACTGGCCTATACTTTTCTTATAATGAAAAATAAATATGTTATCGGAAAATTGGGGAAAATTACCTGCTTACTCCTGCTGAAAGGTCAGTTGAACACAATCGTAATTTTTTCCATTGGCCTTAAACATTTTAGTTATTTCTAGTTTGAATTTAACTGAAATGCTGAAGTATCAGAAATTCTTCTAACACCAAAATGGAACTGTTGTCTATTCTGTGAAGGAAAAAAATGACATCAATCATTTGCAATCCCTATTAGCAATTGGAAAGTATCACTGTTGTACACAATATCATGAAGCTTTTGACCCAAAGGATCCCCAATGTTTACACCTCTGTTGGTGGGATTTCCTTCTTCATTCGTGACCAATGGCGACCACTTTACTGTGTGTAATATCCACCACACACCATTTGTTTCCCCTCTGCACTTAAGGTCACTGCGTTCAGCCTCAGCCCATCAGGACAATGATCTGTGATGAACCAGACAAGGGGGCCCGGAGAAGAATGGTAGCAGATGGTTTAGAGTCTCTGAGGATCCCGGTGATCCCGACCAAGCAGCAAAATTAGACACAACAGTTGTCATGCTTAGATAAGCGATATATTTAGCTCATCTGTTGCTTGTGTCACATTAGCAACATCATTAAGACAACAAATGGCTTCTCCCACTGTCTTGCATGTTCTTCAGTACGTTAATCCTGCCCGTTTTCCTTTTGTGATTGTGTCTCTCTCCGTAAACAAAGACATACGATTATGATTACTCCAAGATTTCTTTCCTGTTGTAGTTTCTGAGACTCCCTCTTGTTCCGTTTTACAGTAATCACTGATCATCACCACTGAAGCTTCTTCGAGTGCACTTGAGAACAGAGTATCTCTCAGTTCCTGCAGCTCAGGGACAGCAGACTGAACTTTGTGAGACTCTTGTCTTCTGCTGTGTTCCCTGCTCGGAAACTAATTTCCTCCAACAAGGGACTTTATTTAGCTGGCGATGATACACAGCACATGAAGCAGACCAAGTCTCTATTATTAACAGGAGATTAAAACAGCTGTATGGCACTCTAAAACATCCTCTCCACCCTGTGCTAACATACGGCCCTGGATTACAAGCTGCACTTGACCATTTAAATTACTGCAACAACCAGCCTTCACCAGCTGGGGCTCATTACCACAACGCTTGCTCTCCGCCGCTGCAGAGAGCACCAGTCTCGCCCTGAAAAATCAACTCTGTGAGATACACAATAATAATATTTTCTTACCTTGGCCACAGAACCACTTCTGACACAAAATGTGTCCTGTAACAGTAACTCACTATAAAGTACATTGCATTTTTTCCCCTCATTTGTCCTTATATGTGCATTTTCCTAATATTCTTTTCTGTTGATGTGAAAGAAAAATAACAATAGTTGCAAATGCACATAAAGGGCTTTTGTGTTTTTTTTAGATTACTTTTCACCATTATTTCTAAATGTACGTGGTCGTGAAATAATATAAAGGCAGCAAGTGTTATAAGTATTTCAAATATATCTGGACTCCTCATTTTCATTTTTTTCATGGAAGTTATTTCAACTTTTTGTTTTTCGAGTGATTTTTTTAGTTTGTTTAGTTTTCAGTTACCATATAAGGAGGCGACTGAACGATTGTCTTGTGAGAGTCCTGTGATGCTCTGATACAAAGACCACTGAATGAACACTTAAAAAAAGAAGTGGCAAATTATTTTTAGGCTAACAGAGGTCTAATTTATTCGTCTGATGAAGTGCTTAAGCTAAGAGCTCCCCAGATACTAAATGAGACACATGCATTCCCAAGGGGGTTTAACATTTGATTGGATGTAGTTATATTACTACAGCCCTAATTAAGAAGGGGGATGTGTTTCGGCAGCTCTTTCAAATATTTGTTTTTCCGCCATACTCTTGATAGACTGCAGGCTGTAGAAGGGAGAGCCAAGCGGGGTGAAATGGGGTGCAGATATGACATAAACCCAACAGTCTCATAGCACAAAAAAATATTTAAGTTTTAGGAAAATAAAAGCTCTAAAATGGTCGTAGCAAGGTTTGATGAATACCTGTGCTGAGTGAGAAATGGTTTCTGCAGCAAAATAAGTAGAGGTTATGTTCCTGGCATCAGGTCAGCACTTTTATAGTCCAAAAGTTTTGCTTGGCATGGAAGAAGACCACACTTATGCTGATGTGCACTAACACACAGTCTTTGTCATGTTTGAAGAGGTTCACAACAAACTGGAAAGACAGCAGCGTCAGTACCACCAGCTTGTGTGTGCTCGCAGGAGTGTATAATACTGAGAGATACAAGTGAAAAGAGGCAGATAGCTAGTAATTCTGATAAGTCGAGAGGGAATGTTTGTGAAGATCAGGCACAAGTTTGAGGAAAAAAGGACAAACACGCACACACACACACACACACACACACACACACACACAGTCATACCATCTTGCTCTGTCTTTGTCATCTCCTCCAGCTTCTTCTGCTTCAGCGTGTCCACTACGTCTGCCAGGCTTCCTTTGCGGCGCTCAGGAGTTCCAAACGCTGATCCGCTCAGCAGGTCACTCCGCTCCCGGGCCCCCTCCTCCGGCTTGTGTGGAGAAGTGGAATTGTTCCGGAAGGAGTACAGGGAACATACTTTATTGCTGTCAGACTCCTGTAAGACAAACAGGGGGGAAGGGGGGAGGTAACAGGGGATGGGATTTATATTAAATGATGAGTGTGATTCGGTGTTCTGTCAGGGCTCCATTGAGCTTTTTGACAGTTTTTCATTCAAATGCTGTGATTGCTGGGTTTCTGCAGCTCAGGGGCGATTTGGCCGTATAAAATGGCTCCACTCTGGCTTTCACACAGCGGCGTATGTGTTTTCAACAGAGCTAGCTGCGCTGCTAAATGAGACATGACAAGCGAAAAACTGAGATGAAATGATGAGGTACACTTTCATAGGGCATATCCATAATGTGCTCAGGCTTTACTTTTCATCTGCAGAGACTACACAGAGAAACCTCCCAACTGTAATTTCTCAAATTGCTTTTGAGTGTGCATTTGTGTTAGGGTGACTGCTGTGTAATTTGTTCATTTTCTAGTGGAGACCTATTCTCAGCTGAGTGCCTCGAACCATCGTAAATCTGTGTCCTGTCTCAAGCTGTTGTTGTTTTTCAGTCCCACCTGTGTATGGTTTAGTATTTAACTAAGGGTCCTGTCTCTGGCTGACTGGCTGAGTGCTCCCTGTGCACAAACAGAGACATGAAGGAAACAGGGGAGAAGAATGAGGGGGAGAGAAAGAGAGACAGAGGGGGAGAATACTCTGCAAATGGGAGTGTATGCACACAGGCCTGACAGAAGGTGGTGTTAATTATGGTTTGTGGAGTCTGAGAAAGCAGAAGGTAGCTAAGCAGCCAGGAGTTTGTAGCCTTTAACGGGGGAACACTTAACTCTGATTTAAACTTTGGCCCTCACAGTGAAGAGAATAAACATGACACACATCTGTATCCAACACGACTGTGATTGAAAAGCAAGCTTTAATCAACAGCAACATGATAACAGAGTGCTGCAACGCCAAGGTGAATCATTAGAAGCACGTCTGGAGCCACTGACAATCCTGAATAAAAAGTCGGGAATGCAATAAATGGAGCAGGAATGTGGACAGTGCCAAACTCTCATCGCTGCGCTACATGTCGAGCTGCAGGCAGAGTTAGTGTGTAGGATGGTTTAGTACCAAGCGCCAGGGTGGCACGACCTACTCGCCGGCTCCACACCTCCCGGCGCCGGGTGTTGGATGATTATGCAGCGTGGCAGAGACAGTGGAGAGTGCTTGAGGGGAGTGGAGCAGTGCTGGGTTAATCAGCTGGCATAGGTTCAGGGCACAGCCCACACAGACGCATGGCACAGCAGTGGAGTCAGGTAATCAGTGACGGCAACACTCTCATTCCTTTCCCCTTATGCCTTCCCCTTTTATTATCTCTATCGATCCCTGTCTTCCTCAATGTTACCTTCCTTTCTTTTCTCTTTTGCTTGTGTTTTCTTTTTCCTTCCTTAAATTACACCTTTAACCATCTATTGATCTTTAACTATGATCTCTGCTAAAGAAACAAAAACACTAATTATTACAGAATATATCTTTGATATTAGCCATCATCCATCTGTTCATGGTGTGATTGCCTAGATTCAAATTCCATCACCTGTTTTCAGACCTGTATGAGCCTTTCATCTGCCTACAGTACAAGTATCTGCAATAGCTGTCAGCCTTGTGACTGAATTTATTTCAGCTGTTTTGTTGACTCTATAACACTTAACTTGATGAAACCACCAGAAAATGCTTCTAAGCACACCACAGTTAAAGCTCTGCAGATGATAAAATTGATTATCTTAATAATTATTATTATTTTATTTTTGTGTTCTCATGTTTTTTTATTCATGATTTTTTCCTTTTTTTTGTCTCTATTCCTGCATCCTTTCTGACCTAACTCTCAAATCCAGTTTTCATAAAATACTGTAAACATTTGAAAAGATGCTCAAGAAAATGTTTTGTTTTTATTAATTTTTTTTTTTTTTTAATTTTTGGACTAATATTCAGTTAATTTAATAAATGTTGTTATTGGCATCTAATAATGTGCCACAGACAAAAATACCTGAGCATACTTTTAAGTGTCTTTTAACTTCATCAGTCAGCTAGGACCGTCCAGCATCATAAGGAGCAGCCTGCTACAGAGTGTGTGTGTTGCTGTGTTTGGGTCTGTGTGTGTGTGTGTGTGTGTCTGGGTCTGTGAGTGTGTGTTGTACTGCATTGCCGAGGTGTTGAGGCTCTCAGTGGGCGGCTGCAGTGCTACTTCAGAGGCCCTCTGGGTCTCTTTACCACAGAGCCGTCTGTCACACACAACCACCTGCCTCCCATGTCTATGGCACACAAGTGCCAGTGCTCTTCCTCACTGTGCTCACATCAAAGCAGCTTTGCATTTAGAATGCAGCATTTGGGGTCTGGCTGCAGATGTAGCTTATACCAAACAAGAAAAACAACACACATGCATTGTGGCATTAACAAGAATAATTTAGGAAGCAAAACAGACTTCGTTACCCACCATTTGGTCGTAATGCAATTTGATGTGACATTCATGTTTTTCAAGTGAGAGTTCGAGGTCAACTTTCGAATGGAAAGCTTTGGATTGAATTGTGTCTGCTTTATCAGGTTTTAACAAAAAAAACTACTTCTGTTCTTACTACCATTATGCATTGCCCTCTCAACTATTCAAAAAGTTTACCTTTATTCCATTCTCACCTCAGGGCCTCAAATAAAAGTAAAAATGAGTGCAAAAAAAAAAAAAAATCCACAAAGTTAGGCAAAAACAACTTTCTTTGGAAGCCTTTAATGAAGTTACCTTTGACTTTTCTGTCAATCTGTGAAGTAAATTTCACACTATACTAACCTAAGAAGGTGCAAGGTAGAATAAAACAATAAACAATCTGCCACATTGTGCTTGGTAGAATTGTCAGCACTTATCTTTGTGACCTACAATAATCTTCACTTCACTGTGCAAGTCACCAGTAAGGTCTCTATTTAACTATTATTTGCACAAAGACTTTTTTAGTGAAAATGTTTATAGCCTCAGCATGGGATCAAATCCGTTGTTGTGTGTATATGTGTCATTATTTACACGTCTCACCATGCGCTGCTGGGCTGACACCAGGCTGTCCCAGTCGCTCTCTGGCGGTACACTGCTGAGTGGCTGCATCTCATCGGGATGGGCTTTTCCATGCAGCAGACTGTGCAGGGGCAGTTGTGGTGTGCCGTGGGCCTCTGCGCTCTCCTCTTTCTCCCAGGACAAGTGCTCTTGACTCATGGCATCGTCCCCGTCAACCACAGAGGCAAAAGGAGACGTGGCTTGTTTGGAAGACATGACTCTGCTGCAGAGCACAAAGGGAGAACAGGGAGTCAAGATAAAGACATTACATGATATGAAGATCATCAACATTGCTTTCCTCTTTCTGGACCTCCTGCAGCTACGTTTTTCAGAGCTTTTCAGAGCTGTATCTGGGATTATAAGTGGTACACCTGAGCAGATGAACGGAATGCTACTCCTGTGTTTTATGGAGATGGATGGCTTGATCTAGAACTGGATCTTTGCCTGCTTGGGCCAATCCTCAACACACTTGGTCAGTAAATAGGTCAGCGGGGAAGTGGGACAATATCCCAACTAAATCAAATTATTTCCCAGTTTAAACTCTTCTCATTGTCTTGAAAAGGTCTTAAAAAGTATCAAATTTAACTTCAGATTTTCTGTATATGTCCAGTTAACATTTTGGTGTGACAGTGTTCCGTCAGATGAACAAATCCTCTAGCTTCAAATCATAAGCTCACAATGAAGAAACACATGAACAAGCTTAGATTAGAGCTTTCATGAATATTACGATGAAGAGAGTCCTTGATGCATCAGATGCAAAGAAAATGCATGTTAAAGCTAATTTAATTTTTTTCTTTTACACATTTTTTACATATTTTATTACCAATTCTTAGTTTTTTTCCTCACTATTGATAAGGCCACATTCATTGCTGTGTGTTACAATGAATGACATGACAAAATTGAATTATACATCTGGTATTAAATAAAAAAATATTGCCTTCCTCCTGATGTGAAGTGGAGAGAAGGAGGTTGAACATATTTATCTCCTAATCCGCTTTTCTCTGTGCTATTGTTCTGCTTTTTCTAAACTACAGGATATTAACAATGCATTCTAAATGTGACTACTGAGGGCTCTATCTTCGTGATGGGTGTATTTGCCTGTGTGCGCATGAGGAAGACAGATTGGGGGTGTTAGGGTATGAGCCTGTGTTTGTATGTGACAAACTGCTCAGCGAACTTCTTGTTTTACATTTGATCACTGATCAGCCTCTGCCTCGTTCTGCTGCTATATCCACAGGGGTCAGTGTGACAGCACTTTAGTACTACCCTCCGCCTGCCTTGGGGGTATGAGAGGTGGGGGTGGTGTGTGTGTGTGTGTGTGGGGGGGTGGTGGGGGTCAAGGTTGAGGCAGGCTGTGCTGCGTTGGTGTCCTTTTACTTTCTGCTCAGAGTTAGGCACAGAAAGCTAGAGGAATGCATCTTCTGTTTAAGAATGAGTTTTTGGAAGAAGTGTTCTGGTTTTGAATCAGGGAAGTATTTTAAAACAAAGGTGTTAACTAGTAACAAACACTGATAAATGTTTATTACCAACAGGGAAAACATGTTTACAACACATTTGACAAAAATAGCAGAAGAGAGGAACGAAAGAATAAAGGAGCAATTTAAACCAAAAATAAATAAATAATACAAATGTTGAGACACTAATGAAATGCTGCGGCTGTTGTTTCTGTGCAATTAAGAGATAGCACTGAGTTGGCTTGAACCCTCAAAATACTAACATGAACAACTGTTCTATCCATTACCACTTTTTTATCAAACACACATGTACACACACACACACACACACACACACACACACACACACACACACACGGTCATAGAACAAGCTGTTTAGTGAAGTTAGACCTACACAATGGCAGCATTAAGTTAATCTCATAGCAGCTGTACAAACAAACCCAGTCAATCAGGTAGATGGAAGGGCAGGAGTGTGAATTCTGTGCCTGCCTGCCTGCTTGCCTGTCTGTCTGCCTGTGTGTCTGTGTGTCTGTCCTTGTGTCTATAATCATCGGTGTTGGCTGTGCCTTTAGTGGGACTAAGCCCTCAATTTTCATCAGCTATTAAATTGTTTCCTGTAATTATATGTAATAGAAAGTGATCCTTAAACTGGGTACTGTTAATTGAAAATCAAAAAGTCAGACCGAAGTTCAGAGCATGCATGTAGTAGGGACAATGTGTGTGGATGTCTGTGTTTTGGGAGCGGGTCAGGCATGTAGATTCTGACGTATTTTTTATTCATGAACCCAAAAAGCATGAGCCTGAAGCGCAACAAGCACCTCGTCCTCAATGGAGGGTGAGAGTGAAACAAAGCACTGCTTTTGTCTTACACAGTAAATCAAGTGGTATTATTTTACCACTAAAATATTCAGTCTCTCAGGCACTTTTACTTTGGTCTCCAGCCATCAGTCAAACTGCTGAGGCGTGAGTGAGAGAAGGGGAAAGAGAGAGAGAGAGAGAGAAAAGGAGCGATGGAGCCTCCATCCTCCTGTAACATGTGTCTACAGCAATCTTGTTAAAGAATGCAACAGATCTGCGGCAGGCTCCATAACAGTATTTGTCAGCAGGAGTTAATAATTTATTAGCAGTGCTGGGAGGGCTGCGCTCAGGCAGCTTAAGAGTGCGGAGCGCCCCCTCTGCCCCACCCCCACCTTCGACAAGCCCCATACAATACTACCTCATATTATCGAAAGGGAAAAGGGGGAAGAGTGGTGGTAATTCTCTGAAAATATCCACCGTAAGGTATTTGATTCCTCTTATTTGAAGTGGGGAGCACACAGCTCTGAGATCTAAAGGAGGTTTGTGTGCTATAGATCAGCACAGACACAACAAAGGCATCTGATGAGGAGCAGAATTCTGCAGAAAGCATGCAGAATCGTATCATATTTTCTGATAGAATTTCACCGTTTACAGCCTTGGAGTTTGTGCTCGTGAAATAAAATCAGCAAAACAGCCGAGTTTGTACATCTGCAGTGTATTCTGGTGCTGTTGACTAACTTTTATCCACATTAATAATTAAATCAGTCTATGTGGAAAAAATAAGCAAAATATGCTTTAACAAACCAAACATTGAGAAAATGGTGAACTGAAGGGGTAGCTCATAAATTCTTGACAAGCTGCCCTCCCTCATGCTTGATTACACAACAACAATGGACAACTAACAAACCAGAGTAATCAATAAGTGCATGAAATGCTGCTTTCCTGCCTACTTTTCAAAGACAAAGCCCCAGTGACTTTGAAGCCTGGAGAGAGCTTTGAAGAGGGACGGTCAGATAGAAAAGCAAACTGCTCTATAAATAGCTGACAATATTGCACACATTTGAAGGATTAGGATTTAAGTTCTGCAGCCGCGGGCTCATATAGCCTGGAATGCTTTGAGTCATGAATTGTTCCCTGAGATAATGTTTCATCAGCGTGCAAAACAACCTCTGCTTAATTGGAGAGTTCTAGGAGAGTGTTGTGCTCTGCTCATCTCAAGGGTCTTGTGACTGCTGGGCCATATGTCCTCGGCTATCCCATTTCCTCTTTCATCGTAAAAAGGTCTGGCTGACTTTCGCCCTCACGCTGTATCTGCTCTGTCACTTTGTTTACCTTATATAGACAATGGGGATAAGTAACCACGCACCCGTCTAAAACTGGCCCACTTGTCTACATCACTGATGTTATAAGCAGCTTTAATTTTCATCTGAGAATCTCACACATTATTCCCTTTACACATTATCAGGCAAAGTAAATAATTAAAGACAAAAAGGTTGTTGTGTAATGCAAGTTTGTTCTCATGCACAGTATGCATTCACATACAACAATACAGTCAAAATAATAAAGAAAGAGTGCCATAGCACTTGAGGTGTCTGACTGCATGATATATTTTAATAGATACTATTTTAAAATATTGTACTGACTGGTCTTTGCTGTCATCTATAATTGAATTGCACTGAAGGAGCTACTTTATGTGTGCACCAAACTAAACACTTTCAAGTAATAAGGGGACTTGTCTTTCTAATTTGTTTAATTGAATCAATTTTAAACAATTATTAATATCATCAGTATTAGCATATTGCAAGAAGAGCCATCTTTAAAATACAGTCATTTGTAGAAGAGCTTTAAATAAAGATAAAGTCAAAACCTCTTTTTTTTCTCTATGGGAGTGTGTGTGCGTGTGTGCATGTGTGAGAGAGAAAGTTAGAGCGAGAGAAAATGTGTGCGTGTGTTTCCCTTCAGGGGTTCCTCCTGTTCTAACAGGTGTCGTGGTAGGGTTCCTCTGGGTTCTTCACCTGCCATAATGAGATATTGCTACCTGACAGCTCCCAGCTGGAGGAGCATTGACACGGAATCCACCGTTTAGCACAATTAAATTATCACCCTCCATTGTGATTGTGCCACGCTGTGCAGAAGCCAGCTTTCTGGATACATAATCAACTCCTAACACGGGCTGTGTACCGCACAGAGCTAGTGTCACACAGACACACACACACACACACACACACACACACACACACACACACACACAGACACACAGACAAAAGTGCATACATGGTGTGTGCACTTATGTTTGTCTATTGTGATATTGCTCCACATTTAAAGGCAGGCACCATTTTCTTGGACTATTTTTTCCCCGTTTTTGTTTGGACAGCCAGTTTGAGTCAGTATCATTCAAATTGATTTTAATCTCTTAAACCTCAGCCGACAAAGTAGTTACACATAATGATATTAAAATATAGTAAATGGTTGGGGGGAAAAAAAGAGGATGATTTTTCAACAAGGTAGCCTACTGTACAGTCACTGGAGAGTTGTCTAAATGAATTTGTTTAAATTGTTCCTCCATTATTGTTGACCTTCCCTTGCAAAAAGTCAACTCAATTACGGGGCCCACTTCATCCTCACTTCACACTCTCTCCTGATGCCTTCTCTATTAGAAACTGCCACAGTTACCACAGCTAAAACCCACACTCAAATGATAGCCGCCCAGAGCAAATTAAGCCAGCCACCTGAAGTGCACACTTTACATATTGAGCAGAGCATCGATAATTACTTTTCAGGGTAAATTATTTGCAATAATATGCTGCTAGAAGAACTGCCTTGAGTCTCACTTTAAACACTTGTGCAGCTGCCATGACAGCGCGCTCGCTGTCCTTGCCCCCCATGCAAGGCAAAGGGAGATGCAGGTGTGAGAGCGCTTAAGTGTCTCTGTCTGTCTACTCAGGAAGGGTCGATGAGCACTCACACACTG